CCCCCCCCCCCCCCCTTCCAGGTGTAAGGTTATATTTGAACAGCCCCTAATATTATTACATTCCTCGCAATAAGCATGTGTACAAATAAGTACAAGCATTCTTTCGCAACCCACAAATATGTATGTGAACTGCATCTATTATTAATCGGTAAATGGGGAGGACTTCCGTAACGAGCGACCACTTTGAGACAGAGTAGTAAAGAAGGCAGGAGTAGATCTAGGGGTAGGGGTAGATCTAGGGGTAAGGGTAGATCTAGGGGTAAGGGTAGGGTTAGGGTTAGATCTAGGACTCTTCTTTATAGTGTTTTTTGGGTTGGTCGCACGTTACAGAAGTCCTTCCGACAAATGTGCCCCCCCCCCCCTTTTTATATAAAGTTAATAGCTGGTAAATGTGCCCCCCCCCCCCCCCCCCCCCTTTTATTGGAACCTCAGAGTACACTTACAACTTGGTTTCGTTCTCCCACATTTGAACAATAACAGGCCTAACGCGAGTATGTTTACCGCAAAGATTCTCCACTATCGTTTTTTTCACCGGTCAGTCATTTTTTGTCGGCTGAACAGAGGACAAAAGATTAATTGCTGACGATTCGATCATCTTTATTTAGTTTCAAGTAAAGACATCATCGTCATCATCCAGTGCCAGATCTGCGACAGACATCGGCGATCATGGTTTTCCATTCATTCCTTTGCTCGGATGCTCTCATAAAAGCTACGTTTCCATGTTCTTTCCCTGTTACCCATTTATTTTGTTTAGGTTCCCTGAGTGTGTTGTTCTGGGCCTACCCCTGCCTCGCTTGCCCTCAATTTTGCCAGTGAGAGGTAGATGTTCTATGTCTATTCAGGTGTCCCAAAAACGGCATTTGTCGTTTCCTGATTGTTTTTAACATTGAGTGTCCCACGTGGGCTTCATCAAGCACAGCCTCATTCGATTTCTTTTCCTTCCACGATACTCTTAGCAGTCTCGTAAGAAACCACATATCTGTTGCTTCTATTTTATTTTCACTGTCTTTAGTGATTGTCCAGCATTCACAGCCATATAGAAGGGTTGACCAAACATAGCATTTCAGGACTTTCATTTTGGTGTTCATTGAGATGTTTCTATTTTTCAGGATTGGGCTCATTTTATTGAAACTAGCCTTAGCCATTGCAGTTCTCCTTTTTATTTTTGTGGAACACTTGGTATCAGATGTTATAATATATCTAGATATTTAAACTGTTGGACTTGTTTGATCTTTTCACCTTTGCTAATGAGATTACAACTAGGATTTGCTGCTTTTTTGGATATTACCATGCATTCTGTTTTCTATACATTCAACAATAATCATTTACGTTCACTTTCTGTTACAACAGTATCTAGAAGCAATTGAAGGTCTTTTTCGGAACCTGCTATTAAAATTGTGTCATCTGCATACCTGATGTTATTAATATTTTCTCCATTTACTTTGAGGCCTGGACATTCTTCTATGTTTCTAAGAAGTGTTTCACTGTACATGTTAAAGAGGTCTGGTGACATAACACATCCTTGCCTCACTCCTGGCCTAATCTGCATATATTCACTGTATTCTCCATTAATTCGTAAAGCAGCATTTTGGTCCCAGTACAAATTTCTGATAGTTCTTAGATCTTTTCCTTCTATGTCTAGCTTTTCCAGTATTTTAAATAGCTCATCATGTCTAACTTTATCGAACGCCTTTGAATAATCTATGAAGCATAAATACATATCTTTCTGTGCTTCAATACATGGAAAAGTAAAGACATAGTAATATCTAATCAAAATTCAAAAAGCTCTCGACCAATTTGAAGTCGCTCTGAGACACAATAATGGTTCACTGGTGTGTTGTCGCACTACAGAGACTCGTTCCTTATATCTTTGTTTATCACGCTGGCTCGTATGTAAATCGCTCCTGTCACGGTGTGGAACATAATACGTGAGGGCTTTCCGAACACCGCCCGCCGGTGACGTCAGCCTACCTGGCGAATTCAGCTTTTGCCCATTGGGCTTAAAAGACTGCTTCTAAGTGCCAATTTGCCTCTCTGTTACTTACAAAAGAAAGGACCCGTTTTCATCAGTTACGTATAGTATGATTCAACCTGTCTCTTATTACTGCTTGTACGTCTATTGTTAGCATAATTATTGCTATTGAAATTTAAGCCATACATAGTTCTGTTTGGTGTTCTCTATGATAATATGGAACGGTAGATACAGTTTTTCCCCCATTAATTGTCCCGAGTACATGAGAATAGAGCCTGTTGTTGATGTCCAGTAACAAAAGGTACGATTTTTCGTTATGATCAATGAACCTAGACCTGCAAAGTTGGGTACTCTCTCTCTCTCTCTCTCTCTCTCTCTCTCTCTCTCTCTCTCTCTCTCTCTCTCTCTCTCTCTCTCTCTCTCTCTCTCTTCTCTCTCTCTCTCACACACAAACACATACACCCCCCCCACACACACTCTCTCTCTCTTTCACTCACTCACTCACGCGCTCACTCACTCACGCCCACACACACACA